AGGCTCCCTGGAGATGTGAGCTCCCATTCAGCAAATCTGCTCTCTTGGGGCTCAGAAAGTGTCTCTGGGGTTTGACTCTGCAGATCCAAGAAGTCAACCAGCAGGTCACTTCCAGCAGCCAGGACATCCAGACAAGCAGCCACCAGCTCACCGAGCTGAGGCGCGAGATGCAGAACCTGGAGATCGAACTGCAGGCACAGCTCAGCACGGTACGTGGGCAGGATCTGCGGGCCCTTCCCTCCTTGGCACGGGCAGGGAGCCGTAGAACTCTGCTCCTCAACTCCTGAATTTGTCTTTCCAGAAAAGCTCTCTGGAAAACTCCCTGGCAGAAACCGAGTCTCGCTATGGCCGCATGCTGCAACAAATCCAGGCGCAAATTAACTGCATCGAGGAGGAGCTGGCCAGCATCCGCTGTGAGATAGAGAGTCAGAGCCAGGAGTACAAGATGCTGCTGGGCATCAAGATGCGCCTGGAGCAGGAGATCCAGCAGTACCGGGCGCTGCTGCAGGAGGGGCAGCAGGACCTTGGGTATGTTCTCTATTTGCAAATAAGGGCCCAAATTTTATCACAAGCTTTTCTCTCTTGGCACTCATGGAAGACAGGGCGGAATATTTTACTTCTCTGTAGCTGAAATCTAAGTTCAGCACCTTTTTTTCACAGCATCTGCATTGAAATGGCTTTATCAAAAACCTCATAAGCAGATCAAACATCAAGGGAAACACAGAGCAGATTGTTACTGCCAGGTTTTGAGTTAATCAGTTCCTCTTGACCTGTTTGCACGGAGTGAATTCCATGAGAGGAATCACCGTGCCAAACTAAATTGTAATGAAGCTCCTTCTGTCAGCAGACAAACAAGTACAGCTGGATTGTGAGAGTACAAGAATTATACTGCAACAGTCTCTTGATGTCTCTGCTTTTACAATTTTCTAGGAAAATACAGCTGAACAGAATGAAATGAAAAAAATTATATAAAAATATATTTGCAAGATCCAGGAAAAGCTGAGCTGTTACATGCACTGCACATGATGTCAGTATGTATTTATTGCTCCCTTCATTAAATCACCTTTCCTTTTACAGGTCCTGTCAAGGAGGTCTCCAAGGAGGAGGTATGACCTCCCACTCTTCTAGTTCTTACTGTCACGGTCAATCTAGTGAGAAGGCAGGTAAGAAATCTTTCAAAGAGCATCCAAACTTATGGCTTTCGTATTTTGTGTTTGATCCCTTTTCCTGTTAATACCAAGCTTGTGCTATGGCTTCCACATCTGCAATTGCAGCAAGGATTAAACTATTTAAAGTCAAAGCTCTTAATTTCAAAGTGGTTTGGCTCCAATTCCAGAGACAGGCTAAATTCCTTCCCATGCTTTTGCTAACAAATGGATATTTAAATAGTGGATGAGTCTGAAATGTCAGTGCTGCAAAGAGACTCTTGGTTTGTTCTTTCTTTCCACAGGGCAGTCAAGAGTGTGTTAAGATACCACCGACGTGTTGGGCTGCCCTGGTCCTGTCAGTGCCGTGGGAGCACCCGGCCCACAGCGCGCTACCGCAGAGCCCACACGCGCTGTGACCTACCCCGTGCACAGACTGACCTCCAAATGCTATTCATGAAATCCAAATTAGTAACTAGTAGGCTTTTCCTAAAATTATCTACTTCTCCCTTTTCATGCTGTCCATCACTGTGATCACTGTGCTCACACACAGGACTCTGCAGTGCACTTGGTTCTCTGCTGAACAATAATCCCTTGAATAAAGCTTTATCTTTCTGCAATGCAAAGAAAACTCTGTGTCCAGAAGTCTATTTGGTATATTAACATTCTATAAAGCTTTATCTTTCTGCAATGCAAAGAAAACTCTGTGTCCAGAAGTCTATTTGGTATATTAACATTCTATTTACATTTAGGTGTAACAAGTCAGGTACATAAAGAAATTAAAGTTATGTGAATTATATAATACAGCTCCAAAGAAATACATGAATTCTAAATCATATGATGACTGGATAAAATCCTGAAGATGAATCAACACATCCACGTTAAACTCAAGGGTGACACCTATGGGGAACAGAAAGGGGTGGGGGAACCCCTTTTTCATAGATTATGGTGCAAGTGGTGTGCAAGTAGTTGATTTGTCTATTCAGCAGCTGAAGTGAAAAATTAGGATTAATTAACCCCAACATTTCATAAAAATTTTGTCAAATCAAAACCACTTTTCCCTAGTCCCTGAACAAGAAATCAGTCCTATTCAGGCAGCCCTTTCCCAGCTTCTGGGTAAGAGCTCAGTCTAATCTTGTTCAATTAAAGCAAAGGGTTAGATCAGGAAATGAGTGAGGACTATCAAAGTGCTACTAACCCAACATTCAGTTGTTGGAATTATTCCTCCTGATGTGTTGGAAAATCTGAGTTCAGGTCTTTTATCTGGGTTCCACAAGGAGGAGTGTGCTCCCATATTCCATAGGGTCATTCCCAGATCCATGCTGTGTGGAACTCTGTGTGGAGAATAGCACGGTGCAGGCAAGGTTCAAGCTTTGTTACTAAACCTGCCCCACTTGTGTACCACACTCAGCTTATTTGGGCTCAACAGAGGAAGAAAAGGGGTGAAATATCTCAATTTCAAACGGAGAAATCTGCATTTCAGTGTTTCGTTTGCAGAGCAAAGGAAGCTGCTGAACAGGGTCGGCCACATAGCAGGGGAGTGACTCCACTGCCGCCCTGCCCAGACCCTGGGTGGGTCTCAGAGGCTTCATTGTTCCCTGAACACCTCCTAAATCACCGACATTTCTTATCCGTCACGCAGCTTTACACTTACACTTTGGTTTGCAGAGAGTCAGGACAGGTAAAACATCATTTTGGATAACAAAGTGTTAATTTAAAATAATACATCAAATTGTTCCATGTTACAATCCAGGCTGAATTCTCAGCACAGCAGGAAAGGGACGAGTCAGAGAAACTATTTCCATGGAAAACAAAGGTTTGTAAAGTCAAAGCAGATTTGCCTCTCCTTGGAGTTACACCAGGACTCTTTGGCTCTGTGGAAGTAACAGAGATTCTTCTGCCTTATGATCCCTTTTACTCCTCTCTCTTATCAACCAATGTTGACTACACCAAACCCCCCAGCACTAGCCAGCTATAATGGACTTTGGGATCAAATACCTTCTTTAGGCACTGTTTAACTAGGAAGAATGTCTGTAATCCCCGAAAGGAGCCATTTGTGCTCTAGGCTGCCTGGTGGGAACATTCGAGTCTCCTGCTTCCCTGCTGCTCTCTTTTAGGTGGGACATGTTTGCAGTGCCAGCATGCAGGAATGCTGTAGTTGATCCTTATCCTGCTCCAATGGTGTGTTCCACAGCTCCGTACCAGGGACAGGATTTATCTGTGGGTGACAGACAGCGTGTCCGTCCATTCGGGTCGGCTCCCTGGCATCCTCTGATGGCAATTAAGGAAATAACAAATAGGATTTGTGATACAAACTGCTCAAAACACTCTCAAAATTAAACTAAAGCCTCGGGCCTGGGACACGGGTCGTACAAGGAAAGAACAGATTAGTTAATACGAAAATCAGCACGTTTTTCTTTCTATTTCGTGCCTTGGATTCGATGGCTGTGCTTAACAGCAGGGCCTGCAGGGGGCGCTCTGTGCTGCTCCCGCTTCCCAAGGCCCCAAATCCCGCGGTTGGTGGCTCAATTCTGGAAATTAATCATCTCCAGATGGACCATCCAACATGGTCAGGAGCTTTGATGAAGATAAGAAGGTGTAATGGCTGTATGGACAGAAATTCAAGACAAGAACCAGAATTGAGTGGTTCTCCGAGGGGCTTGATAATGGATCAGGATTCTGACTCTCCTGCAGGATTTAGACCCGCAGCAACGCCTCCATTTGCAAGGGCAGCTCTCAGGTACGGACAGGTACAGCAGCCACTGCTACTCCTGGTGCTTTTGTGCACGGTCCTGCCAGGCTCTGGCTACCAGGCAATGGAACCACAGAGGTGACAAGGCAGATTTCCTTCTCGGCCCGCCACCAACTCAAGGAATGAGAAAAGAAACTCTGACTCACTGTACTTGTAACAAAAAAGCAAGAGGAAAGGAAGCTGCTCCTGTGATATTTCTGACATTTACCAGCCCACCATAACCAAGAAAAATAGCAGCAGCCAAGTTAAGTAAGTATGAGAATTCATGCAGGAAAATTCTTTTTCTCTGTAACAGTTTCTGTTAGGTTTCACATCATATATAACACTTTAGAGTGCTAATCCCAACAAATCTCGGTATTTCTCTAAATGTTTCCACATTGTGGCTGCCTTGGAAGTGTTGACCTGGATCAACCTGTTCTAGTGGAAGGTGTCCCTGCCTATGGCAGAGGGTGGGACTGGATGAGCTCTGAGGCCCCTTCCCACCCAAAGCATTCCATGATTCCATGATAAAGGACAAGTGACAGTGAACACGTAGACTCAGGCACACTGGAGCTGACTCTGCGAGCTGTTTTAGCACTGCCTAGAGAGAGGTTTCTGCACGCTGCAATTACTCCTAATAACGCGCTTTGGGAGCCCACGCTCCCGCGGCTCCGCCAAGCCTGGCTCCAGGGAACACCTTTCCCTGCACACACCTGCGCTCCCAGCCCGCGCAGGGCTGGGATCAAAGCTACCACAGCCTCAGCGAGCAACATTTTCTGACAACGTTCCCAATCCACTTCAGTTCTTTCCCACAATCTGATGTCAGACTATCAAAAATCACAGCCGGATCCAAAAGTTCACAGCGCTCACACAAATGCAAAGATTTGAAATAAATTCCAACAACTCCTTCCTGTCAAAAATGCTGTTAGAAAACATGTCACCAGATTTTTATCAGTTATTAAAGCTGAATCCATTAGGAAAGCATGAAAAGGCACTCAAGAGCACTTTAGTCACTCTTTTTACTGGCTGTGGGCTGCCCAAAATACAGACAGTTGGCACAAACCTCAGTTTCTAATAAAAGGAAGATATAAAGCTGAATATGGGTGTCAGAGTCTGGTGGAAAGCCACAGCTCTTAGTTAATGTATCAGCCAGGACTGCTCAGGAAGGGACTTTCCTGGTACACACAAACATGGGTAACACAGTCCTTTATGAAAGTGGCACAAAATGTCAAAAGTAGTGAGAAATCCCTTTTTGCTCCCTTAAAGTTGTGTGACCAGCAGGGCAGGCAGAAGCAGGGCTCCAAAGGGGTTTCCATGGGCTGAGAGTTGCCATGAGGTGTTAAAAGTGTTAAAAACACCTCCCTGGCAGCAGCTCCAGAAACCAGAGGCTGCAGGGCTTGCCCTCACAGATTTTCTCACTGAGCCCAGCCAGAGATCTTCACGCTCTGAGAATTCCTGTCAAGAAAAAAAACTGAGTATGAAAGCACCAGTAGGATCAGGAAAGCCCAAATACAAGGATCCACCAGGAAGGTACTAAGAGAGCTCCTTGTTTTCTAATTAGATCCAGAAATAATGTTTAAACTAATGTTTAAATCTTGCACAGTCAAATCTCTGCCCTTTCTGGAAGCTGTGGCTTACCCCTATGATCAGAATATATTCATACAAAATTAACAAGAGAAATAATAATATATAAGTCTATAAATACAAGTATACGCATGAATATATATGAGCACATAGATATAAATAATAGACATACAAATGCTTTACTGATGGGAACAGAACAAAACAGCTCAGCTGTGGGCTGTGAGCCCTATCTACCCTGTGTCCCTCCCAAGTCTAGGATTTTTTTTTGAGCAGGAATTTTCCATGGGGTGTATGGGAAGATCCCTGTGGATAGCCCCAGGCTGCTCCCTCAGTGCAGCGTGCAGAGGCCATGGCAGGTGTCCAAGAGCCACCGCTCCCCAGCCTGGGACAGGCTCAGTCCCTTGGGCTTTGGCAGAGGCCCCTGCACTGCCTCTGCTGCTGCCTGCAGAAACCTGACTTTTGGAACACATCCTCCTGTCAGTTGGATGTTTGACTCTCAAATAATAGTTTCCAGCCCAATCATACCTTGCTGAGATTTACCAGCCAGATAACAGGTTAAAGGAAGTGTGAAAGCACATCCAGTGAGTTTGCTTGCACTCCCTAGGGCTTGGTGCCCCAGCTGAGCCTTTCTTCCCACACTATCTTTAATCACACGATAAGAAAATTTGGTTTATTTTCCTGTCTCAGGTACTTTACTCCCTGATTTGCTTTATCATTAGAGTTCTGGAATGATGGAGGAGTCAGGAGTTTAAAGCTAGTTATGTTTCTAGGGAAACAGGGACAATAATGAAGCAATTCCACACCACAGCCAGTTTCAAGAATTTGCCAAGTATTTACACTGCTCTCAGTTAAAGTGCTTGAGCTCTTCAGGAGAATCTTTTATTTACTTTCCTCATACCAATCTTTTTAAATGTTCTATAAATGACAATCATTGAGAAATTAAATTCTGTGCTCCAATAGCACTGCAGCAGCTTGGGCAGGAATTGTTCCAGTTCTGCTCAAATCATTGATCTGTCATTTCTGTCCTGCCAGGAGCAAACCAGAGCCCTAGACAGAAATGTCTTGTCCTGTGTCTCACTCTCACAATTTCTGTTAACACAGAACCCTTGCACAACCTTATTTCTCACCTCTTTCAGTGCAGAAACTCTGCCTTTTCTTCACCAATCCCTCTACCTTGCAAAAATAGTCATTTTGAGCAAATGCCCAGTGTTGCTCTGCTCTTCCCAACCCTCTTCTCCAGCCACACACAGCTGTGTGTGCATGTGCTGGGACCTGCCTCTTCAGCACAGCAGCATTCTTGTCTCACAATCTATTGG